CCTGCAGAGATGCTCAGACTTCGGGCTTGCTGGAAGCATGGGCAGTCTGGAGGGAGGGRAGGGGCGGATCGGATGCCAGGGCTCTCTGCAGCTTTTCCAGCCTGGTGTGGGTTCCGTGGCTGCCCCGGCACTTGCTGCCCGGGTCCAGCTTACTCTGCCCTCTCACAGGCCATCATCTGTGCCATCTCTGCAGTGGACGCGGTGGATTATAAGACGGCTGAAGAAAAGTACATAAAGGGACCTTCACTCAGCTACCGGTAGGCGCCGGGTCCTGCTCCTTGTGCTACGCAGCTCCTGGGCCACCTCTTCCTCACAGGCAGCCTGGCAGGGGCACCCAGCCTGTCACTAGACGGAAGACAATCAGCGGGTGGCCCTGGAGTCCCCGCCTGAGCCAGACTGCCCGGGGACCTGGGTGCTGCAGGAGGCTCTGGGCTGAGCGAGTGTTCTGGCTGCGCTCCTCCCTGGCCTCCTTGGGCAGAGCCTGTGTGCGCACGTGCCCCCGCCCCCCGCCACACACACTGCACTCTCCCCACCTGCTCCCACCCCCTGGCTCTTTGAGAAAAGAGATGAAGATGAAGCAGCAGCATGGCCCTGATCAAGATGTCTCCCTCTGGTTGGGATGTCTGGCCACCCTGGGACTTTTGGCTCCGAGAGCCCCTAATCCTCCTCTGGGCGTTCTGCCAGGCCTTGCTGGGAGCCAGGCGGGCTGTGGGCAGTGACAAGCTGAAGGCTCAATGGAGTCACAGGCAGGGTCTCTGTCCAGGTCTTGCAGGTCGGCCTCCCAGGCCCCCTGTCCTGCACCCTGGAGGCGGCTGGAGCTGCAGCTGCTGGGGAGTCCAGGGAAGGAGCCTGGGCTTGGCTGTCGCGAAGGCCCAGAAGCCTCCTAGAGGAGGTCAGGTTGGGTTCCGTTGGCGGGAATTGTGACCCTGGGCAGACAGAATGTGGTTGTCACTGGCTCCTAGCGCCTGGCCCGTTTCAGTCAAAGCAAGTAGAAATGACAGTCTGGGAGTGAGGCAAGAGCCACAGCGACTCCGTGCCAGCCCAGCTCCTCCTTTGTCCTGCCTCCTGTCTTGGAGCCTTGGTGGTGGTCCAGGTGGGTAGGGCCTCCCTCACTCCCACGGCTCCCTTCTGAGGAGCTTCTGCCCTGCTGTGCCAGTATCAGTGGGCACACTGTCCTCCCAGCAACCTGAAAGGCAGAGGCAGGAGGATGCAAGTCCAAGCCAGCCTCAGCAAAGCCCTGTCTCAAGATAAAATGGTCTGAGGGTGTGGCTCAGCAGTGGAGCACCCCTAGATCGGCTCCCAGTGCCTCAGGGGGAGAGAAGTGTTGAGTCCACAGCTGGACTGACYGGGAGCCCCTCAGCTGAGCTGCGTAGAAAGGGACACCAGTGCCGTGCGGGGGCATCTCGGGTGTCTGGTGAGCAGGGTCCAGGTTTTCCTTTGGCCTCCAGGGTGTTTTCTGCTGAGCGCCCCCTCCCAGCACCATCTGCCCCATGTCTGCATGTCAGTGCTCGTGTCCCGTGGCACTTCTCTCTAGTCCTGTGGTGGAACCCGGGGGCTCCCCTGAGCTGCCACAGCCCTTTCTATTCTGCTCTGAGGCGGGTCAGGCTGGCCCGGACCTCACAGCCTCTCGCCCCAGCCTCCTGCGTCGCTGCACAAGGGTGCCCTCACTTGGCTTCAGGGCCCTCTGGGGCTCGCGGTCACCTTCGTGCAGCGGTGTCTCAAGAAGTGCCTGCCATGGCAGCAGTACCCTCTTCCCACCTGAGGTTCTCTCCCGTGCTCCACCGTGTGCTGCAGAAATGTGAAGACCGTGTGGCCTGTTAACCCCGCATTTGCATTCTGTCCTAGATGCCCTTACTCTTGGCCTGTGAGGGTTGTTGCCTCAGAGGTGTGACTTCACCTCGAAGTGTAGTTTATAGCCTGGAATGGTGCCACAGCTGGGTCCCAGCTCCTCAGGAGGCTGAGGCAGGAGGATGGCAAGTTCCAGGCCTAGGCAGCATAGCAAGACCCTGTGCAATTTGGTATTCCACAGTTTTTTTTTTTTTTTAAGATGATTATTTTAAAAAATAATCATGCTGGGCTGGGACTCTGGCTCRGTGGCAGAGCACTCGCCTTGCACATGTGAAGCACTGTGTTCCATCCTCAGCACCACATAAAAAGTCAGGCTGTTCACCCACAACTACAAAAAAAATGTCTTTTAAAAAATTATGCAGAAAATGTCCCTGGGCTGGGTGTGTAGCTCCGTGGTGGAGTGCAAAGCCCTGGGTTTAACCCCCAGCACTGCCAGAAACGTCCGCCTGCAGCAGGCTGCAGCAGGGTGCAGCGGCGCATGCCTGCGATCCCTGTGTGATCCCAGAGCTTGGGAGGCCGAGGCCAGGGGACAGCAAGTCCCAGCCTCTGCAGCCTGGCCCCATGTCCAGCTCTTTGTGTGTGTGTGTGCATGCAGGCGCACACACGCACAGTGACTGGTTGCTGAAATGATGGACCCTTTTGTTTTCTGAAGGGAAAAAGAAATATTCGATAACCAGCTGCTAGAAGAACGGAACCGGCGCCGCTGAGGATGGTGCCGCTGCCAGGGCACTGTGGTCTGCGCGGCCTGGCACGGGGTGACACATCTCCTTGCGGTGCACGCCAGTGTTCTGGAGGGTCAGGACCCCGAGTGGGGTGCAGGGCGGGTCCCCCTCCCTGAGGCAGCTCCTTCCCTGGTGTCTGGGGAGGGTGTGTCTCCCCACGGGTGCTGCAAGCAGGCGCGCCCTGTGCTGTGCTGCTCCCGTGCTGTGCTGCTCCCGTGCTGTGCTGCTCCCGTGCTGTGCAGTGCTGTGCTGGTGAGAGTTTGTCGTTTATGTGACATTGCATCCATTATTAAACGTGTTTTTAAAAGAGGCTTGTGTGATATGTTTCCGGAAGCACCGCGAGTTGGGTCTGGTTCTGTTCTGTTCCTCTCTCTGGTCTCCTCCCCGCCCAGCTCTGGCATTTGCTCGGTGGCCCTGGGTGTTGTGCTGGAGAAGCCAGCACCAGAGAGGAGCTGTTCCCACGTGCCACAGCCTGTGTGGGAGGAGGGGCAAGCCCTGGCAGTGGCCACCCCTGAGGTCCTCTGCTTGTGTGCACCCCACAGCAACCTCGAGCTGGGAATGGCTGTCCACAGGGTCCATCATGGCCACCACCCCACCTGGTGGCCACTGCAGGAGCGTGCAGAAAAACCAGCTCTGTCCTGGGCCGGCCCTGGGAGGCTGGCTTCTGCAGAGTCCTTCCCACATGTGCCCAACAGCCCTGGAAGACGACCTGGTGGGGAGGGCAGCACCCGTCCTGGCCGTGGCAGTCACACACCCTGGGTCCCAGCAGACAGTCTGGGAGACAGTGACATCCTTCAGAGGCAGAGCATGGGTGGGGACAGCGAGCCTCCCAGAGAGTCCTCAGACCCATGTCTGTGTCCCCTCCCCTGCAGCCTCAGCCTCACAGGGCATCCCATGATGATCATAAAGGTGGCAGTGGGTGCCACGACACCCGTTCCTGAGCCTCGGTGACCTGCACACCGAGGACCTTCCTGGTGGGCCTGCCTGGAGGGTGGCCCTGGGGAGTCGGGGAGGCTCTTCTTCACTTCTGTGGTCCTGGGGAGCAGCCAGCCTCGCTCCTGCACCTATCCCCCTGGGCTGCACCCAGGCCCCTCGGTTTTAACTTTTGGTACTGGGGTGGAAACTCGGGGTGCTTTACGACTGAGTTCAACCCCAGTCTTTTTGAAGACAGGATCTTGTGAGTCGCTGAGGCTGGTCTCAACCTTGTAATCCTCCTGCCTCAACCTCTGGTCTCTGGGATAACACTGTCATCCAGAGGAGAGCATCCGGCACTCCTCTTACGAATCCATCAAATGCCATCCAGGGCTTCTGGGACCAGCCCTGGTCATGGTCAAAGCTTGCCTCCAAACTCACCAGGGAGTAAGTTTCTCTTTGGTGACACGCCAACCTAGTAGGGGCTTGGGAACAAAGAGCAAGTCCAGTAGTACACTCTTCAGAAATGAACATKTCCCCGTTGTGACAAACTGCTGCAGTAACACAAACCTGAATTGAAGAGCTGGGTGTGGCCTTCAGAGGATCTCTGAACTATCACCATAACTTGTATGACTCTGAAATGATTCTACAAGTTTCAAATATGATTTTTATAACAGCACTGCCTGTGTACAAGAGAGGAAAAGGCTTTTGTTCCAGCCAGTGCTGCAGACTCTGGTCAAGTCTACCTGTCCTTTTCCCCACCTCAGCCTGGATGCCAGGCCTGGGTGACAGCCCCTGCCCTGCCAGTGCACCTGCCCTTGCCTCTCATCCCCAGGGACCAGGAGGATCTGCTTAGCACTGGGGCCCCAGCCCCTCAGAACTCAATCAGGTCCTGCGCTGTCCTCAGTAGGCGGCAGGCCTGCTGGAGCCCCAGTCTCCCACTAGGGAAAGGGGCGGAAAAGGTGGAGCAGGGATGCAGCAGGATTTGTGTGCAGCAAGTGATGTGCACGTGGGAAGCGTTTTCCAAACTCGAGTTTGGTTATTTGTTTTATAATCTGTACTGACTGTAGCCCTACAAAGTGGAAAGTGTTGGGTGGATTTACAGCACTGCCAATTTTTTAAAAAATCTAAAATACTGAAAATGGTAGGTAAGTTTGGGAAGCAATGGAAGTAGGGGGAAGTGGGAGAACTGGTGGTTGCTGGTGGAGTCAGCGCCAACTTCCTGGATCCCGGGCTGCTCGGCGGGGTGACGTGCCGGGGAGCAAACCGAGAGTCCGGGGTTGGGTGCCAAAACTTCTGCCGAAACCCGGGATCGAACCAGGGACCTTTAGATCTTCAGTCTAACGCTCTCCCAACTGAGCTATTTCGGCAGAGCCCAAGCCGCCTCTTTCTGCCGGAACTCCGCCCCGCGCCGCTGCCGCTGCCGTCGCTGCTGCCGCCGTCGCCGTGCGCAGAGCGCGCATGCCTCGAAGGACGCCACTGGGCAGCCAACTACAGTGCTGTCTCTGTGGCGCAATCGGTTAGCGCGTTCGGCTGTTAACCGAAAGGTTGGTGGTTCGAGCCCACCCAGGGACGCGCAGGGTCACTTTTGTTTGTTTCCAAGGGTACAGAGGCGTCGCGTTTCCTTTTGTCACCCCCGCCCCGAAGGCCCCGCACCCGGAGCCATCCTCCTGAAGCGCCCGAGCAAGCCGGAGGAAGCGCAGCGGAACGACCCGGACGGGGTTCCGGTTTCCGCCCGCACGCGGAGGCTTTTTGTTCACGGCCCAGGGGACCCGGAACGCTGAGGAGGACGAACCGCAAAGGTTGTCTGAAGGCCGAGGCCAAGATGGCGGCGCTAGAGGGTGAGCGCGCGGTGGGCGCCGGGGTGGGCCGGCCGGGGCTGGGCCGGGTGGGGGGCGCCGGGCCGGGTGGGGCGCGGCCAGCCTGCGGTCGGCGAGGCCGAGGCCCGGGCAGAGGGCGAGGGTCGCCCTGTTCAGGCCGCAGTGCGGGCCGGCGCGCCGCGCTCTGCTGCCCGGGCTCGGAATAGGAGGAAAGGCTGACCCCCAGGGAGACCCTGCGACCGCCGAGCGCGCCTGGCCGAGTGTCTGCGCGCCCACCGCCCCCGGTGTGGTGGGAGGAGGCCGAGGCGGGAGGATTCCCCGAGCCCGGGGTCGGAGGCCAGTCCGGGAAACGTGGAGAGACTCCGTCGCCAGAAAATAGTAATAGGGACAGAGAGAGTGACAGGGACAGTAACAGGGACAGAGAGAGAGACAGGGACAGTAACAGGGACAGAGAGTAACAGGGAGAGTAACAGGGACAGTAACAGGGACAGGGACAGAGAGAGTAACAGGGACAGTAACAGGGACAGAGAGTGACAGGGAGAGTAACAGGGACAGAGAGAGTGACAGGGACAGTAACAGGGACAGAGAGAGAGACAGGGACCGAGAGTGACAGGGAGAGTAACAGGGACAGAGAGAGTGACAGGGACAGGGACAGTAACAGGGACAGAGAGAGTAACAGGGACAGAGAGTGACAGGGAGAGTAACAGGGACAGAGAGAGTGACAGGGAGAGTAACAGGGACAGAGAGAGTAACAGGGACAGTAACAGGGACAGAGAGAGTAACAGGGACAGAGA